TGATTCATCGCTAACAACCATCAGACGTGCGATCCGGAAACGGGTGTCCACCATTACCATTCACAGACGGCTGATGAGCGAAATCTACTCTCGTACCGACCGTTACGCCACTTGCCTGAACATTGCCGAGCCAGATTACAGCGGTGCTTGGTTGGAATGATGCTCACTGGGGACGTATAGTCTTTAGTGACAAATCCTGCTTCCAACTGTGCCGTGACGATCATCGAAGACGTGTCTGGAGACGCACAGAGCAGCGTGCCGATCCTTCTTTCACTATTACACGCACACAGGCCCTCAACCAGAAGTTATGGTCTGGGGTGTCATTTCCCTTGATAGCCGGACCCCTTTGGCCGTCATTAGAGGCACACTTACAGCGCAGCGGTACGTCGACGGCATTCTGGAAGTTTTGCTACCGTTCCTTTTGTAGTACACTGGCCTTATTTTTTCAGCAAGTTAATGCCAGACCACATACGGCACGTGTTGCTATGAACTGTCTTACAGCTTGTCAAACACTTCCTTAGCCAGCCAGATCTCTCTCCCATCGAGCATGTCTGGTATATGATGGGAAGGCGACTGCATCTACCAGAGAATTTTGATGACCTAGCCCGACAATTTGAGCAAATTTGGCAAGAAATACCGCAGGAGACCATTCGGGAGCTTTATAAGTCTATGGCATGCTGTGTGACAGCTTGCATTCAGGCTACAGGTGGATCAACACCTTAAATGAGCTCGTTACTTTGTAACCATGTAACTCTGAAAGAACTCATTCAATTGTTCTGAAATTTTAATAATTATCTATTCTGTACATAATTTTTCAATCCATCAATTTTTGTCTCCATCGGACAACCAACTTCTTGGTGCGCTTTTTTTTTATTATAGAGTGTACTTCTTTCGTGAAAGTTGAGATCTTGAAAGCGGGCAGAATATTAATTTTCCAATTTTGTCAAAAGATATAGAAAGAGGAAAGATTTATTTTAATTTGTTTAATGTAGAATAAAGAGTGATCGAAAAATATTTCTGCAGAGTTATTTCCTCAAATATTGACCCTAAACGTTGATTTCAAGTTATAAAATATTAAAAAAAAGTAGTCAATTTTTAGAAACAGCTTCTGTCTAATGATTGAGAGGATTGTATAAGTAGCATTTTATATAGCCTCCGTCTAGAGTAAAATATTCATTATATTTTAATTAATTAAATAAAATGTTCCATACCTTCCTGCAAAATTGGCGAAATTAGAACATTTCTTTACTTCTAATTTAGTAGATTACGGTACGGATTTAGAGCACAGTGACTAAAGAATTCGTTGGTTCTGAAGACAATCCTTCACGTTTTTAACCGTATAAAGCATTTTCTCCTTCATGATGTAATTGGAAGCATATTCGCCGCGTATTCGAGAGGTCCAGGGTTCAAATCCTGGAGAGAGCATTGCACATTTTTCACGTCTCCTGCTTCAAAAATTCCTTAGGACTCCGCAGTGGCATCCGAATCAAAAGACCGAGAATGATAAGTCGTCACCACTAGGATTTGGCGATTGGGTCCTCTAAACACCTGTCACCCTTTAGAAGATGGAGTATATAAGGCATTTTCTCCCTCCTTTCAGCATGCCTTCGTGGTGTAACTGGAAGCCTATTCGACGTGTATTTGAGAGGTCCAGGATGCGAAACCCGGAGTGGGCGCTACATATTTTTAACGTCTCCTGCTTCGAAAAAACCTAATGACTCTATAACGCCTGCTGTCAAACTAAAACATACGGGTGAAAACAGTTATCTTGCCAAACGAAATCAGAAAATCTTGCCAAACGATTAACACCACGTGATTTGTGTATGCGTGTAACCTAAAAGAAAACGGAACTACAATAGAACTAGCTATGGACGCATAAATAAAACATGTAACGTAAACTTCTTTTTTGTATTGTATACATCTTCTTTTAGTATATAAGGTATTTCTTCCACTTCTTAGCGTGCCTTCGTGGTGTAGTGGTCTGCACGCTCGGCGCGTATCCGAGAGGTCCATGGTTCGATCCCCGGTGAGGGCATTGCTAATTTTTCACCTCTCCTGCTTCTAAATAACCTAATGTCTCTACAAGTATATTAAAATATGCCATATTATAGAAGTGCCTTAGTGATGAGTAGATTGTCTTCAGCTAATAAAATTATTCCCTGCTTAGTTGGATACATGTATGAAGAAGGAAGATCTTCTGAAAAGGTAAGCATTTTACCTTTGTTCTTAGAATGTTTAGTCTTGATATTCATTACACCATGCGTAATAAGCTTCTGAACTCATTAAAATATTACGTGATTCGATGTTTGAAAAATAAACTTGTTAACTTGTAACTTTTCATTTTTACCTCCTTGTACGAAGTAAAGGAAGTATTGTAATCATGAAAAATCCCGGGTATCATATTTCAACAAAAATACCCATTTTGTCCTCTATCGAATGCAATGTAACGATGTTTTTGCGGGACATTTGCAATCGGCCGTCCCAAAAGTATATAAATGTATATGTACGAGTATATATACCCTCCCTGTTATTCGGCTCTGTGAACTCAGTTCTTATATTATTATATGTTGGTAAATGGCGCATTTTTTGCTTTAAAAGGCTTGAATTATGTTGTTCTTATCTTCCGGTTAAGGTTTTTATGACTTGTAAAATTATCAATACTTGCAATACTTGTAAAATTATCAACAACTTAAAAGTTGTTTAAGTGCGGCTAAGCCTAATTTTTATTTACTATAGCAGCCATATTTGTTTACATTTGAAATTTAACGGAATAGTGAATTCAGTTTCTGCACCTTCAGTGTCTTTTTGCCAAGTGGGACCAAAATTTAATTTTCATTTTTCTACTCCGAAAAATCTGCCTTGTTGCTCGTTTTTGTGTAGAAACTCTAATTTCAATTACAAAAATTGTTTTTTGATTGTTTTAATTGTATTTGATGTTTTAGTTTTCCTATATTTTTCAATTTTTAATAGAATCGCTCGCATTTAGAATATTTTGAGGTTTTATGTATTTTTGCCTTGCGGCAAACTGAGAACAGAATTAATTAAATGAGAAATATATCTCTAACGAAATTCGAGGAAATGAGTTTAAAGGAAATGCAGCAAAAAGCGTATAATTTAATATTGCGCACATACGGGTGAAAAAAGTCATGCGGTGTATACATCAGATTTTTTTTTTTTTTTTTTTTAGAAAAATCTACAACTTTTTTATCTAAATAGCTGAATCTTGAATCTTTAACTTTTCTCTAATTTTAGAAGCGAATATCGATGTATATTAAAGCACGCTAGAAATATTGCTACAGTTGATAGATATTATTCCAATATAATGACTGGTACAAAAAGCCCCCAAATGTGTATTAAAGCAATTTTTGCTATAATGGCCACACGCTATTACGTTCTTTTTCTGCTGGATGTAAAAGGTGGTTATAACGAGCGTTGTTGGCATAATAAAACAATTATTAAAATATATGTTCTCGATTATTAATTAATTTCATCAATTATTAATATATCTTGATTATGTGACTATTTGATATGATATTTTATTTTACATACATTTGGCAACCTAAATTAAATTAAAACAAATATTTCAGGAACATTTAAAATATCTGCAAATAAAATCATTAAGATATGCAAAGTTTTGACTTCGGAATTTGGGATTCCTATTTGATGGAAGAGTGGAAATTAACACAAACGCCTGGCCCCAGCCGCCACCCTAAGCTCTTATTGGACACGACTTCTGATGTCATACAGCGACGAAAAGAATTCTCTGCAGCATTTTTGTGCGCCAAAAGCTTGAGCTCGAGATCATTTTAGCGCTGAAACAGGCGAAGCAATGGAATAATTTGCCATATTTGCGAAAAAATTACCAAAATAAAAAGCAGCTTCAGAAATATATTGTTAATATACATAATATTAGAAAAAAGGTGCAATTCGATGTGCAGTAGATAACCGTTTAGCAGTATTTTGGTCATTAGACGAATATCGAAGTCATTTGACAATAAAACACTTTTTATAAGATTAAAAGTTAAGAAACAAAACAATACATACAAAAAACAGAATGATAACTCCAATTGATAAAGTCAAATAAACGATATTATAAGTATTTTTCGATTTAAAAGTATCTTATCACTTTATCTTATTTTTAACCATAAATGAGGAGAAATTAATGCCTAGGATTAGAAAGTAAAAAATTAATCTGACTAACGAGCAATTTTGATACCAAACAACCTCCATATAACAAGCAATAAATGAAAGGAAGGTTATTTAATTATCAAACAGTTCATTTTTGTAAAGAAAGAACTAAATTTTACAGTTATATCACTTTTAAAAATACTTTTCTGTAAAATAAACCGCTAATTCATGAAAACTGCGGCAGACATTATTTACACAGTAAGAGTTAAGTGCTATTTCTTGACATTGCTGACGAAGCAAATCTTGTTAATGGCCTCCTTTTATATGAAATTATAAAATACATTTCTTAAATATCAGTATAGCGCTATGAATTGCATTGAATACAGATTGCTTAGCCAAAACACTATTACGCATTATAAAGTTTTATCTATTCCATTAACATGATTAAACAATTTATATAAAAGTGCCGATATATTTCTTATACTGTTAGGTTCGTTTTAATTGAAAATATTCTGTTACATTGCACAAATTCACATTAACACAGGAAAGAACCAAATCCAAAGTAGTTATAAGTTCCCCTTGACATAACTCAAACGAAACAGATAATGGAATCTTTTCAGCCTGACGTCATAAACGGCAACCAATAAGAACAGGGGTGGTGGCTGGGGCCAGGCGCTTGTGAAATTAACAGTTCAGGGAACAAATAAAAAAAAACCATAAATCGCTGCTCTGTCACAAATGATTTTTAGACAGCTGCTAAAAGATATTGTCGATAATCTACTTAAGGAGATTAGATAAAAAGTAAACAAAAGACAATTATTTTACATAATCTGACTTTGATAGAACAAACGGACATTTTCATTATCTCGACTTCATCATAATAACGAGTTATTTATGAGAAAAAATACTTAAAGGTGAGGCTTGAAACAATTTGCGAGATGTCATTGGTGTTTGCATCCCTGAGTATTTGCTCTGGCATTGGATTTTTAGTACTATTCTACTGGTGGCATTCTAAGCTTGCTAGCACAAAATTGTGCAATCGTTTGCCGACTTTTAAGTTTATTCCATTGTGGTCCTACTGGTCTTTGTTCGCCAGAGCGTACATTTATGAGCCGTTGCCACCACTTGTGTGTAAGTAGTTTTTACATGTGTCTACTACTATTTTGTTTATCTCTTTCTTTTCAGTGTAAAAAAAAAATAACAATTAAAAAAAAAAAAAAAAAAAAAAAAAATAAAAAAAAAAAAAGAGAACTCAAAGGTTTTAGATTTTAAATTACGTCCAAACGGGCATTTTTCAAAAACATTTTGTATGTTACATTTATTTATTAAATATCATGCTCTTCGGACTTATAAAAATAAGCTATTTTTAGAATTTCCAAAAGACAGTCTCGCACTCTGGAGATAAAATTTTTTTATTTCATACAGTGTTGTCACTACTTGCTTTGAAATTGTTGAGTTTTTAATAAAAAATTCGTTAAAGTTTTACAAAATATAAATTAGAAAATAAAGCGAATTCGAAAATCTGAATTCAGGCGTCCAGGTGCCCATGTTCGGGTCAAGGACTACGTTATTTAAAATTTTATGGTTCTAGATATTGCTGTTTTATCACAATGCGAGAAACATGCATGCATTCATGCAGATTCTTCATTGTTTATTTCTTTAAATATAAGCAAGGAGAATTTCAGAAGTCAAACAACAGAAACCAGCGTTATATTCGCAAACTTAATGTTGATTTTTGTTGTTTGACTTCTAAAATAATCTTTGTTCGGCGGGTTATTTAAATCTAAATAATCAAGGAGGTTAGAATAAATGGAGTAAGCTCTCCATCCTATACTCCCTGCAATGAAAAAAAAAAAAAAAAAAAAAAAAAAAAAGCCATAATACTTCTTGGTATGTCATCACAACTTATCATGACCTCTGATATAGGCGAGCTTCTGGTTGGTATTGTTTTACATTCTAATAATGTTGTCTACTGTTAGCTTTCATCATTGAATATTTATAACTCTCACATTTTAATTTTAATACTTAAATGATTTTTACATAGAAATTTCAACCGTTTCAAATTGAATAATATCTATACGATATCTATGCGACGTGGCAAAACCTAAAACACCACAGATAGTTTCAATGATATTTTACGCAAATTATACCTAAAGACACTTTTCTGAGTCTCCGAACGTTAATATTTGCTTTCAAAGTCGGTGTAATTTTTTGTAGTCTTGTAGGCACGCTATATGGCGGTCATGATAAGTCGTGACTTTACTTTGATGACATTTCAGTTTTGTCATGTCATGTTTAACTCCATCTATTCTAACCTCCTTGAATATAATACAGGGCGATAATATTTGGTGAAAACAGTCTTGAAAACGATACACTGCTTGTAGGGATTCAAGACAAAATGTCGTTTCGGGACTAATATCTCATTCGGGTCTAACATTCCTTTTGGGCTTTAAAAAAAAAAAAAAAAAAAAAAAAAAAAAAAAAAAAAAAAAAACATACGACCCCTCCCCCCCCGAAAAAAAAGTCTGAAAGGTTCCATAACTTAAATTACGTCCAAAGGGGCGTTATTTTTAACGTTTTGTGTGTTACCTTTATTTATTAAATATCATGTTCCTTGCACTTAAACCATAAAGTTCAGTTCAATAGCAATGTCGCAAAATAAAAACAATTTTAAAATGATCATATCTTTGGAATTAATCTTTGGAAAGAATAAAACTACAGATCTCAAACCAAAAATCGCAGGCACTGATTGTCCACAAACCAGGACTAACTATACTCGAAATCCACATTTAAAATAGACAACCACAGATCCGCTGCGTGAAAAGATTAACTACCTCGGCCTCACCATTGGATACTCTGAAATACTACTACAACCGTGGTGAACAAGATCATCATACATGGAGCCGCTATAGGACCACCAGAAAGGTGCGAGCTCTAAACGCCATACAAAGACCTTTCCGTATAAATATCACCAGAGCATTCTCAACTACCTCCAACAACGCCCCACAGACATTGGCAGGTGGGCTCCTGATCCCAATCCAAGCGCAAATGGACGCATTCTCCTCAATAGTCCTCCAACTCAAACAACTAACTTTAATGATACAATATTCCACCCAACAGACTACGAAGATCAGCCTAAAAAGTACTTTCATCACCCACCTTTGAATCTCCAAAATCTGCACTGCATTTTTGACAACCCCCCCAACGGAATACACGGCTTTCACTGACGGCTCAAAGATCGACGAAGTTGGCACGCTGCAACCATTCAGTACAAACCTTAGTTCACACACAGAATGGCAAGGGCACTTTAGAGATTAAACAGCGTGCACCCAAGCTTACTGACAGCAATCCTCTACAGTATGCAAAACTCCACCTACTACTAACGGCCACCTCATATCGTTAGTGCAGCAATCATCATCTATGCTATAAAAAATCTCTGCACAAATTCACCATAGCCCAACAAATGCAAAACAATTATCAATTCCAGCCAAAAGACTTCGTTCTTACTGGGACGAAAGGTCAGCAATGCGCCGGGAATGAAGAGGGGACTTCCTGGCAAGCAGGCAGCCTCGAACAGTTAGGCACTACCCACCCTCCAATTGAAGTTTCGCTAAAAGTGATGGCCAAAGAAGAGTGGCAGACAAGGGACCAAGTACCGCAGGCAGAAGGACGCATTCACTTCCCATGTGTCGATACTGACCGCACTTTTATAATTATTATCTCTCTCAATAATCTCTGTTCATGGACCGTACCCAAAGTACTCTATGAACGAAACCTTTCAAAGACTTAAATATCGTTTGTGGCAACCGTGATCCAGACATATTTATTCCATGCCCAATAACAGCAAACCATCAATCCGCAATCCCAAGCACCAGGAGCAGACTTTCAAACGGTTCCTGATAAAGCACCGGAAAATCCACAATAGTATCAAACCATATTGACACACCTCGTCACGGCTTGGAACTGTGTGCACCATAACTGGTATAAGTGCTTCTTCTTCTCTGGCACAAATGCCAATTTTTCAATAGGGGTCTCTTTATAGTCATTGTAATAGATTATCTTAGTGTAGCAAGGATTTAGCACCTAGACAATACGACCACAGTTATGCACATCAAAAATGGCATAGCTGGAACTGGTGAATTCTACTGTATGTATGGACTCTAACTCAATCCATGAACTTTTCATAAACTGTCAATGAACTGTGAACCATTTATGAAGTGCTACATTGTCCCAAAATCATCACATTAATATCACAATAACTTATCCAATTATTATGTTAATGTTTTTCATTCAATTCTATTGTTTATTTGTGTTATTTGCGTACTACCTGATATTATAGTTATATTTCACCATCACTGTATATATGGTTTTTGTATGTAAAGTCATTGTCATCAGCACAGTATCTCTCGCCCACAATTCTCTATCCCTAATGATACGTTTCAATAACACCTATGCGTGCGTAAGTACGCCCTGTGGAGGTGTTCTTCTAACGGTTAGTGTGAAGGCGCGAACCATTCTGCCAAGGCGATGTGTTGGTGCTTCCCACGTTTAGTCATGTCCTTTCCTGTCCTGGGATAAGCATATTCAGGAGTTAACATAAGCTTTGTTGTCAACAAGACATGAGACTACGGATGAAACACCAGTGGCATTATATTTAGGTCGGAAAATTCTAACACCTGTATTATTTTTTGTTCTACAAAGGAAGGAGCCACCAGCGGCTGAGCGGTAAAGTCGCTGAACACTGGTAGTTCGGTCCTAGGCTCGAATCCCGCTAACGGGCTGGATGCATAGGCGTTTTCGTGGTTTTCCCCATGTGTAACGTGTATACGAGCCAGTTTCCCTTAGAACGTCCTCCACGAAGGCATTCCTCTCCTTAGACAGATAGCCCTAGTGTGCTTTGCCATAATTAAATAAACCAAACCATCTGCAAATGGAGGCAGAATTTAAATAAAAATTGTCTAAAAGTTAATTGAGGTTGCTCTAAAAACTTCGGGACAGGTCCAAGAAAAGTGGAAACTTTATTATGATAAAAGGCGTAGGTAAGCCGATCTCAAAGTCGGGATACTTATTGGCCTGCCGCAGTGCTGTTTAGGAGACTACCGGCTCCTAAACATACGACCTCCTATTTCCCATCTCAGAAGCTCTTCCGTCTCGACCTTCGTTTGCCTTGTGGTGTGTTGGTTGGTTGCCCTCTGGATGAGCCTCATCGCCTGAGCAGTTCATTTAGGATCTCCTGGTATATTTTGAAGTGATGCACAACTTGGCGACGGAGAAGATAAGACTCAATACGGCACGAGAGCTACAGGATATTGATTCAGCGAACCTGACAAGGTGTGGTTATGGAATCTAATTCGTCGGAAAGAACTCTCTCCTAAATTACAGACACCCTGGGCCTGTCCTAATAGGCTGAAGCATGTCGTAGTTCGCATCCATAAGTCATCAGATTCTAAGCCTGAAGTCATTCATTACTATAAATGAGTTCCTTATTATAGCCCTAGTACGTAGTCCCCTGGTGTATATAATGTAAATAATTTATTAAACATTGTCGTATGTGTATGTAAATAATTTGTAAATTTCTGTATTTATTTATTGGTTTAGTGTTTGATTTATTATATGTTATTTACTGAAATAATTATTATACTAGTATAACACTGATTTTCCTGAGTTGTATGGCTTTCTGTCCGAGGATAGTACTATCCGGAAAGTTCAGTCTTTGGGAAGGGGGCAGTGTCACAAATTTTGTACATACGTAAATCACTTTAGGGAAACTATATATAAATTATAACATCTCTTGTATAATGTAACAGGAAAAGTTTTAACAGCGTGAAGCTTCGGAAAAACTGGGCTACAGAGGTAAGTGTTTAACACTGTGGTTAATGGCTATCTCTCGAGATTGGAAAGAAAATGCCAAGCTGCCAATGGTTTTGGTAACATATTTTTGTCGCCAAATGTGGCGAAAAATCTCGAAAAGTCAGCAAACTTGGCTAGCATTTGACGACATTTTGATCCTATATCTGTGTAACTACCAGCCTTATGTAACTGTAACTGTGTACACCTTCCTATTAAAAGACCACTGTGCGAGCTTATGCTTTTGAGGCTTTTTGTATTGTTCAACATTCTTAGTAGTTATGGTAACTATTGATTGTGCTTTCATGCTCAGAAGAGCTGTGCGAGTACTTTTGTGAAAAGTCAGAGCTGTAAAGTATGTCTTTTGAAAAATAAATTTCATCAAGCTATCATTGGTTCTGTGTGCATTCAACCCACTGCGAACCCAATATTGTTCATCCCTGATTTGTGCAAATAAGTTAGCTACGTTCCAGTACTGAAGTTTGCCATGGTTTTTTAGAATGCGTATGCTGTGAATAAAATCTTCTCTTTGAGGAAAAAATTATGAAGTTCTGAAAATGTTTCATAACAGTTTGCTTACGAGAGGTCGTCTAAATCCATTAACACTAGAAACCTTTTTAGAAACTGATATTTCGTTTTTAATTTCATAGAAATGCAAGCATTCAGCTCTGAATTTTATATACGACGCCTGGACATGATCTTAAAATTTAGCGTTTAATATTTTGGTAAGTTTTGTTATACGATTGCCAGTCGTTTTGTGCTTTATTTCTCAGAATGAGTTTAAAACTCTTCTAAAGATGAAAAGGAAATGAGGAACGCATAAATAAGATTTCGTTGGTTTACAAAGCAGACTTCTTTAAATTTAAAAATGCAAAACTATGAATATTTGCACCATTAAAAATTTTTTTTTTTTGGCTGGAATCATATTTCCTTGATCAGCGATTGCCAGGATAAGGGCTGTATGAGGATTTTATTGGACACATTGCATATTTATCTCCGTTTAAAATCTTATTTACCGTATTTGACGGCATATAAGACGCATTTTGTTTCCTAAATTTGGTCTCAAAAAAGTTACTTGCGTCTTATACGTGAAGTACACAAGTTAACTTCCAATACTGAATGCTATTTTTAGCCCCCATAAAGATCTAGACACATATAACTTTTTCTACATCTACATGTGTGTGGCCTTTTAAATAAGGGTGCGTCTTATATGCCAGTGCGTCTTATATTCCGTGAAATATACGGTAAATAGTGAAATATAGAAAGAGACTTTATTTTGGAATAGTTAACATTAAATCTCGGTTAAAATTAGTTTTCAATGGAAATTTTAAAAGTTATTAAATATGAAAAATAATTAAATAATTAAATTTTGAAAATAGTTCAATCGAAATGATATTTTTATTTTCGCTCTCTTTTTTTAAGCATAGTACAAATGAAAATTAAAAGTAATTAAAAATTTGAGATTTGAATTTAATAAAAGGTTACCGATTTTAAACTTGTTGACATGTTTATATGCTTTCATAAAAATTATACTTCATTTTTAATATATATATATATATATACTTTGTTTATTTTGCAATAATTTTTTCAGCATCATAGGTTCTTTCGGCGTTTTGATACTTTGATACTATTGTTATTATTCTGGCATACAGCGGAGAATTCCTGTCCCTGCTCTTTCCCGATTCCTGAGTGAATCACGAATTGGGTCTGACTTCTGAGGAAGTCCGTAAATAGTATTCTCCAGATGAAATTTAAGCTGACGTGTGGAAAAACCTTGCCCATTGCTTCCTGCAAGAAAATGCCAAGACTGGACGGAGCTGTAGAAGGGGCTGTGGTCAGGCACTGTTTAGCTGGTCACGTGGCCTAAAACAGAGAATCTAATGTCATGAAGGGGTATGGCTTGCCGATTACTGCACTGGTAGTCAGTTGTGGTGCATTAATTAACGAAAAAAGCGTTAATTAAATCCGACGACCGTAGGACGCTATCTGCACATTCATTAGCTGGCCTGACTTGTTTTGGCTTTTTAATGCTTTTGAGGTTCAGTCACAAAAATTTATATTCAAAGAGGTATTTTAATTTTATCTTTTTTGTTTCTTAGACTCTGAAATTTACTTTCATAAAGATTACTCTGCGAAAAATATTTGAAACTGTTTCATATGTAATACACAGGGTTCTTCTAAAATATCTGCGAGAAATGACCTGTCTTTTGGGAATCACGTTCTGTACATCCTTTAAGCAACTATTCCTCTTTCCTTCCACAGCCCCCTTAGGTAAAAATGCATGTCAGCGAAGCCCGTGCTCTTGTAATTCGCGTTGCACCCGAAAACCGCTGAGGGAATGATGATTCAAGCCATAGCTTTCACCTGCCATTCTCAACAACACCCTGTACTACCTCAACGTACCATTTCCGCACAGATATTCCATTATAAAATCTGCTTATTTTGGGTCCCTCTGCCTAGCTTTACATTTTTAGCAGATATTTTAGCGTCATCCTCTGTAACACTGTATTAGTTCTTGTAATCCTGTTTATTTAAATACATTAAAAATCCTCAGTAACCTAATTTTCCCCCTTTTTCTACAGCGATATTACAGTTCCTATGTGCGGTTTGTAAGCTGTATGAGTTTGAAAGAATTGTTTTGATCTGGTTGTCTTTTAGACCAATAGTCTTCTTCTTCAAACCAGAAACCGTTGAGGTGAGCTGAAGTTTTTATTGGTTATTCATTTATTAACTTTAACATAAAAAAGTTTGCATGAAGTAAAGAGAAGAATATTCAAACGTAGTAAAATTCTTCTGTGTTAAGTCATTTGAAGCCATATGGATGAGAAAAGTACTTTGAGAAACTGAAGATCTGCATTTTAAATTGTTTTTTCTCGTATAAAAATCACTATTAAACTGGAAGGGGAAGTTTTAGTAGACTACTGATTTTTCCATTTTTTAATGAAATATCGCTTTATTAAAGATTAATCACATAATGTTCTTTTTTAATGATTATAATGCATCAATGCTTTGTTTTTAATTTTAAAGTACTAGAATTTGGAAAAAAAAAATTGCATTATAGCGCCAATCAGGAATGATGTATTAAAAGTACCATGTAATGTCCATAAAGATTTGTAATTTTTATTGTTCAGCAATATTATGAATCTATGGAACACCTAACATAAAACTTTAAGCAAATCAGAGTTGTTAAAATTGTAAGTATGCAATAAATTTTCTTCGTAATTTAATAACACGAAATAAGAAATTTCGGTAGCTTGAATCATTCAATATTTTCTTAAATGCGCACTTTGCCTTAATATCGTAGTTATTTCTGAAATGGCTTCTATTTACTACAAGCAAGCATTTAACAATAATTTTAGAACGTTTTACGACATTGAAAGCAAAAATGAAATATATCACAATAAAATAATTTATCGTTTTAGAACTTTAATGTGAAAACAAAATTAAAATGTTACTCGAAATTAATACTCGAAAGGTTTTATACTTTCGAATTAAGGGATATAGTTTGAAATTTTTCTTCTTTCCCTTTTCTGCAGGCTGTCTTGAATAATCCGGCTACTAATGAAAAATCCAGCGAATATAATTTCCTAAAATCATGGCTTAGTACAGGCCTCCTGACAAGGTAAGTTGTTGCAGATTTTATAACACTTCGGTGTCAGAAATGTTAAATTAGATCACAGTTTAAATGGATTATGACTGCATTTTATTTGCTTAGTTTGAAAAGATAACATGAAGTATAAAGAATAGTTTAATTGGACCATATGCTAGTTAATAAGACATCATGTAATCGATAAATTATGGAATATGAATGCTATACCTTGAAGAGCTAACCGTTCAGAGAATCGCTTTAATTTGAATTAGATCTTTATTCGAACAAAATTTAGACTTTGGTATGATTTTTTTCATTCTAAATTAAAATGTTAAAAACTAACAACGTGTGCTTTTAAGCGTCCTAATAACTGCGGTTATTAGATTTTAGATTTGGTATTGAAATAAGGAGATATTAAAATCGTTGAGACTGTTAGGGTGTATCATAACTTCAGCTTTATATTTTGGATGTCGCTGTAGTTATTTAATCACATAAAGGCTCAATAGGATTGTAAAGTTTGAAAACACTGGGTGAATCATCTAATTGAAAGACAGCAGAATATTAACATACCCAGCTCTGTGCCTCCTACTCGCAAAGAGGTTTTGCATTCATTTAACTGTTACAAACGGGAGGGATATTTTATTAAAGGCATAAAAGTGGTGTACAATACAGTTTGTATATTATGCCCCTTCTGTCAGAAAGTATTCTGTATTAAGGGTAGTTTCCCACTCTATACACACAACGCCAGTAAGGTACTGTATAAGCTAAAGGTGATGCTCTCATTACCAGCTTGTCGTGCTCAGTCTCGGCTCCAGCATTTTCGGCATTTTAAGCCATCAATTTAGTTGACAAATTGCGTAAATTAAATATATTAATTATCCACAGCGAAATATATCTTTATTTAGTTGTCATTTTTGAAAAAAAAATCTAGCTGGCTCCTTCCGAAACCACCGTTCCAGGTAACTGCCTATGCTTGGCGCTAACCCTAACTGTATTAACAGGACAGATTCATATCCTCATACAGTCTCCTTCACGGGACTGGCCAGAAATAGGCATACAAGACACCAGGACCTTACCATATGGTGATACACGTATTGTCCTGTGATGCTACTGATCCAGTGAAGCATCCTACAAAAAATGCAAACTTTAAAAAAAAAAAAAAAAAAAAAAAAAAAAAAAAAAAAAAAAAAAACGTTTATTTGCTTAAAATAATTGAAATGTTTGACCAGGCATAAATCTTTCGTGATCCAAATGACAACAGGCGAGGCACCTAATCTAATGTTATGGCGAAAAGAAAGTACTCATCAAGCTGACGTCCACTTAAGTTATGCTTTATAGTGCGTTGACAAAATGTTTGACACCTCTACCATTTAATTGAAAGGTGAATGATATAATGGTCATTAATGATATAATGGGCGATTATCATATCTTTCTGAAGAATATACCGACCTAATATTTCGTCATGCATAGATGGGCAATCTTTTTATGTGGACGGATGTTTATTTAGAAATGTTACACTCCGTGTATATTTTAGTTACTATAGTGTATAAAAGCTGAAGGACATTTGCCGTTCCTCAGTGAAATATTCAGTTTAGAACCCTTTGATTTCAAATGGTAAATCATTTACACAAACCATGCTAATCTGGGATGCCCGCTAATAAGGAAAGTTTTCCAACTTTGAATTCAAATTTTCTTAAAAATATGCGTAAAAATCCGCTCATCTGGATATACGGCAGAATCTCCTAACCGTCAGCAACGGGACTTCACCGATTTCGAATAAGGAATTTTTCCGGATAATTAAATATATATTCATAGAGTTTAGGTGTTTATGCTTTGTGATGCCATTTATAAAAATTGCTGTATGCGAAGTCCGTTTGTAATGTCTGTTGATTTGAAGACCGCAGTTAAATAAATAACGCCGAAAATCATACAGACAAAATTAAAACACATGGTTTTATATTTCAGAAAATAAAATTAAACAATATTTTAAAATTATCATACATATCAGAGTTTCGTAAACTGTGGGTCGCGACTCCAGTTGGGGATGCGGGATCTGCAGTAGGGTATCGCCGAAAATTTTAGCAATTTTGATATTTCTTTAATTTATTATAATAATTTTACAATTACCAAACATTTTTACATAATGTATCTGAAAATAGATAAAGATAGGACAATGTCTGTATTGTCCTATCTTTCTAAGTAAAAAGTCTAAGTTTCTAAGTAAAAAAGATAGTGTTTCGACGCATATTTTAAAATAGAAATGTTCATTTTACATTTTTATTTCATATCATTACCATAAATATCTACAAATCTATCCTAAGACAACGTGTCGGTTTTAGATGTTTTGTGAGTAGAACATACTTTGTATAAAGTAAATATACATCTATTGCTTATGTCAGCAAGAAGGTTTTTCAATCAATTAAGTCGGCTATTAGAAATTAAGAATTTAGGGAAGTCAAAACTTAGATAACGATTTTCAACAATCAGGTAATTAATGGTTTTCAACAATGATTTTCAGGTCAGTTTTCTTTGTTTAACATATGCGTTGCTCAAGTGTCGACTGTATAGAATATAAATTTTGACCTGAAGAAGGTATAAGCGGTAGGCATTCTGTTAGTAAATTTCATTTAATAATTTCTCATTTTTGTCACGTAGTTCCGGAGAGAAATGGAGATCACGAAGAAAACTGCTGACACCTACGTTTCATTTTCGCATTTTGGCTGATTTTTTGACGATTTTCAATGAACAGTCAGAAATTTTGACTCGGAAAATGGAATCCTTAGTGGGAAGTTCTTCGATAGATATTACATCTTTAATTAAAATGTGTACTCTTGACATCATTTGCGGTAAGTAAAGTTTTTTAGATATATTTCATAAAATGTATCTATTGACACTATTAACATATCTACGAAATTTCAAAACTCTATTTGTACGAAAGAACTCGGAGAAATTTATTCAAAAAGTGATCAACATTTTTTTAACTAACAGAGAGATATTCCAGTTTTTTCCAGCCATTTGATCTCAGAATAAAATGCCAAGTTTGTCAAGGTATTATTTCAACAGTTTTTGTACGAAACTAATGTATCCAAAAACAACCTCTCTTCCAGAAACTCCAGAAACAACCTCTAACTTTTTCCTTCTCAGTCCGTAACTGACATATTTTTTCTAGTAAAAAATTAACTTAATGGAGAGAAAAAATGATTTATTTATGTTTTCTGTTCAGAATTAGAGTAAAAATGTACAAGATATAAAAATTAATAGTAATGCGATATTCAGGCTTACTGAAATATATTAACTGAAATTTTTGCTTTTTAATATGTCTTGATACGTGGCCATCGTCTAAGGCTGTGACATTTTCTTTTCTTTATAATTCTCTTAGCCATGTGAACCACACTATCTAATACGGTGAAAGGAGTTTTGTCTTTTGGATAGAGAAACAAAAGACACAATGCGCCCAAGAGTTTTACCAATACATTCTAACAGCTAATGCTTATATATTATTTATGCAGTTAACGCATTCATGTAGCATCATCCAGATCCCTGTTTGTTGATGTGACTTCACTTAGAAGCAAATGCATTCCCGAGGCTGGCCTCCTGGGATTCGGGAGCTGTCGGTTTAAGATAGTGGAGGGCGTAGGACATATACCTGTTTTTATCTTTGTTAGACACCAGATGTCTCCGTCCTCCGTCACCTGTCTTTTGGATAATGAGTTATTACAATCTCAAAGCTATTAGCTTGTCATCTTCTCTCATTTCCATTTTCATAAAGTTCAAATTCTTTTGCAATTATTAATTCTGCTAACTCAGTAGTAGAGCATTGCAAAATGTTCTTTTGTGTGAATATTCTACTATAATGTTATAGATACACGAATTGCATTCCTTTTGCAACTTTTTATTCATTTCAAATATTTTAAAATTATTCCCTCTTAGTTTTGGAAGTGTTAGCGAGTGATGCGTCTTTTCTGCACTCTCACTGTCTCCTTCATTTAATTCAGAATCGTTAAGAAGTTTATATTCCAGATTTACAGCATCTGCTACCAATATTAACTCAATAACTGTATGCGTAATCTTTCTCTTTCTACAGCAATGGCATGGTTGACATCATTCACGGTTTATGTCGATTTTTTAATTTTCCCCAAAATGTTTTTTGCTTTGATTAATTGTTCAGTTTGATATATGTTGTCAGCTTCTATTTTCAAAGCGTTTGCTTCGATTTTGACATAAATCATAATGACATGCACATATCTAATGAGATTTAGAAACGCATTGCCGAAGATGTCAAACTGCTGGAAGTTATAAATAGTTTGCGGAATCTGAATGATAATTTTTTAGTAAGTTTTAGTTATTTTAAGTAGAAAGTTAATTTTAAGTAGAAATTTTAAGTAGAAATTTAAACTAATTTTAAGTAGAAAAATTTGTTAAGTTCACTATCATTGGAAAAAAATATGAAGGAAAACGTGTCAGTCTAAGAGAAAGGCCTTTAAAGCTTATAATCCTCCTAAATCATGTTAAAGGGCTAAATGTGGAATTAGTTGCTGATAGTTAGATGGACAGAACAGTTCAATCATGTAGGGATGTTATTTGTTGTAGTTGTTTTAGTCTCTGAATTAGGTCATCTTGCGTACGGAAATGATGTGGAACAAGTCCGGCCATGACATTCAACGCATTAGAAGACGTAGTACAATAGGCCCTTGTCATGCCCAGTGCAAAGGGCCAATGTAGGCTTTATAGGTATCTGGCTTTACGTCCTTGCATTCGTGTAGCCCAGACCGCTGCTGCTTACGTTACTATTTTTTCTATAACTGTTAGATATAAAGTATTTTGAATGCATGGATTTAACCCCCATTTGTAGCATTGGGGATTTAAAACAAGGAAAGAGGGCATCACTGCCAAAATAGACTACCCTCCAAAAGTTAAGGAACAGCATGTTTTTCAATGCTCATCATCACAAAAAATGTCAGTAGCGTTTAAATTCACAGTTCATATGCATTACAGTAACGAAGTTTAAGAAAATATATGCAAAAACAATAGTTACCACTTTTATAGAAATGAATACTTATATAGGAGTTGGAGAAAAAATGCAAAAATTTTAATTTTTGTTCACGAGTGCTTGATCTTCAGTTGTTATTACAGTTTCGTGAACAATATCCAGGAGAGTCTGACAATGTACAGGAGAAGTCATTTACACGATTCTTTGAGGTGGCGGGCAACCGGACGATGGAATTAGCAATTTCGTTTACTATATCCAGGAGAGCCTATCAATGTCCAGGAGAAGTCGTTTGCCGAATTTGTTGAGGTAGCGGGCGATCGGATGGATGGAAATGGGGATGACACAAGCTGATGCTTCTACATGCCTCAATGTCTCTCGCAGTGAAGTCCAATGACTATGGAATCAGTTTGAATCCGAGGATTCTGTGTCTATAAGACATGTTCCAGGCAGACCTAGAGTTACAACACCTGCAGGAGACCGTTATTTAGCCCTTTCGGCCCGAGGAGGACTAATATTACTGTGCCTCAGCTCATGGCAGATCATTTAGTGGCAACAGGAACAAGAATCTCAGCTATTACAGTGTGCAGACACCTGCACAATACAGACAACCAGTTGTTTGTATTCCCTTGAACCGAGGACACAGAGGTGCCCGTTTACGTTGGGGAGTGATTCAGGTCGTCAGCTGATCTGGAGGGAACAACGCACCAAACACAACCAATTCCACATTGTCGAAAGACACAGTTTCAGAGGTGGTGGAATAATGGTTTGGGTTGGGATCTCTCTCGGTGGTCACACTGACCTGCATGAGTTCCATGGAGGAACTTTGACAAATGTGAGATATCGAGACGAGGTTCTTGATTAATATGTTCGTCCATATGCCGCTGCTATTCGTCCTGGATTTCTTCTGATGGATGACAACGCGCAACCGCACCGAGCTCGGGTTGTTGAAGAATACCTTGAGGGTTACGGGTATGGAGCGGGTGGAATGGCCAGCTCAGTTCCCAGACCTGAATCCGATAGAGCATCTTTGGACTACCTTGGGTGACAGGTTGCTGCTTTAAGTCCTTCTGCAAGGTTGTTAGATGAGCTTGAACAAGGATTACGTATTTGCTTCCCATTTCACTGACCGAAAACTTAATTGACAGCGTGGACAGCCGCCAATGTATTGCAGCTAGGGGTGGACATATTCCTTATTAGAACCCATTTTTGTAATCTTACCACCCCATTTCTCCTCAAAAAACTGTGACATACTGTTTCTCCAAGACTGAATTTCTCTGCCAAGAGTGTAATGTTTTATTGTAATTCATGTTTGAGTTGTTATTAAGGAGCATTCTATGTAGCATGCATTAAAGAACTGTTTAGTGAACAAACATGGCCTATAAATTTTGTGCTTCTATGTAGCTTCATTTTCAAATTAAACAGAAAAACATGCTGTCCCTTAACTTTTGAAGGCAGTTGTATTAAAGCATTTTCATTATTTAACTGAATATACACATTACAACACAAAAAGCGACGTATCAGGGAGTTATTAGAATGCTACAAAATTACGTATGCCCGTACTTTGCAATAGAATATGCAAATGATTAACTTTTGGTGGCCAGTGTCTGACTAGCCGGAATTCCAACACATTTTAAAGGAGCATCTGGATGGTGTATAAAAGACAGAACATTCCAATGCTAAGGCCTAACTTCCATACAAAAATAGTTCCTTCCACATACATGAATTGTACTAATGAGTTGCAAACAAGTTCCCGAACAGTACAAGATAATGTCACCATTTTAGAAAGAATATGCAGTTGGACTAAAGAAAGCAGGGTGGTGAAATCGCAGGATCGCTAGACATTAGGGGTCCAGCGATGCTATCATTCAACGATGTAGGCAGGAATGGGTGCACTGTGGAAGTACAGGGCATCATAAAAGTAGCGGTCGCCTGAGAACGACAACAGAAAGCGAGAACAAATTCATAGTTTAATCGGTGCTCACAGCACGGATGCGTCCTTATCAACGAACCAACGTGCAACCGCGATACCAGTGACTGCAGGGCGCGAGACATACGCCTGTTTACCTATGTTAAACACCAGGCGTCTCCGTCCTCCGTAACCTGTACCTGCAATGACCACTGATAGGAGACTCAGCGAACGGGCTGAGTTCATGGAGGCAACTGCGGCGACTGTCCTCACCGTTGCAAACAGTTAGGAACTTTTGCAATGGTGCAGGCGTATTCGACGTAGGATCTCCCGTATTGGAGTAGAATTGTTTTCAGCGATGGGTCCCGTTTCGAATTGAGCCTAGATGGCCAGCAAAGATGTGTTCGATGACAACCAGGACAGGGCTGGTATGATCACCGGACTCTCGTCCCCTCCACAGCCGACATTCAGAAGTTCTGATATGTGATGCCATTTCATTTTGAAGCCGGACCCATTTGGTTGTCATCCACCACATCCTTATAAGCAAGGCGGTGCGTCGACGAGATTCTACATCACGAAGTGTTGCCTTTCCTTTCACAGATCCCTGAACTTTGAATAAGATAACGCCAAGCCGTACACGGCTTTTCTGCTGCTCGTCTTCGTCCTTCTCCAAGACTTCCCTGACCGGCACGATTGCCAGATTTTTGCCCAATAGAGCACGTTTGGGCTGTGATGAACAGGTGTCTCCGATAGTCCCTGGATCGCGCCGATCTAACTCGCCAATTGGAACGTGTATGACAAGCTATCTCGCGGAAGGACTATCAACTGTACGAGTCAATGTTCAGCTTGCATCAGGGCCAATAACTTACATTCATGCCAGAAATGGGCCAACGTATTATTGATTTTGTTTTGATCTCTAGCTTATTTCCTGAATGAAACATACAATTCCT